CCAATTTGAGGGTCCCCCTCCCTGCGTATTGGCGGTCAGGGTGACCCAAAAAGCAAAAAAAAAAAAAAAAAAGAACTGCATGTCCTCCTGGATTCGAGTTCTGAGTCAGCCCAGCGGCTGGACCCTGCAAGCAATTGTCCTGCAAGGCCCCCTTGAAGCCTGGGTCACACCCAGAGGGGACCCGGCCCTGGTGGCCGAGAGCAGTGTCCACTCACGGGTTCTGAGCCACCCGCCTGCCCTTCTGTTTCCTCTCCTCCCCGGCGTCCAGGCTGCAGGGAGTGGCCGTGGGTCTCGGCTTCCCCTGAAACCCCGCAGCTGTGGAGAAGGGCCGGTGGGGTGGACCGTCCATGGGCCCAGGTCTTCCAGCTTGGGAGGGTCACCGGGCTGGGGTCCCCCTAGGGGGCCTGCTGGATGGCGTCTGGAATTTTCCAGTGGGTCGGACAGCGTCAGGGAACTGGTTGGAGACGGGCGGCTGCCGCCGGGTGCTCAGAAGATGTTTACAAACACCAGGGCCAGCGGCCTGCTGCAGCCCCGGATTTTTTTTTTTAAGGTGTTGCGGAGGAAGACACAGCCAGCTGTGCTCAGGGCTGACTCTGCACTCAGGGGGCACTCCTGGTGGTGCTCAGGGGACCCTCTGGGATGCCGGGGATCGAACCCGGGTCAGCGGAATTCGAGGCAGATGCCCGCCCCGCTATGCCATCACTCAGGCTTTTTAGTCGAAAGGGCTCCCGGTTTGTCTACGCCACTTCAGAAGCCCCCTGTTTGGGGGTGCAGGTCACGGGAGGGCGCGTGTCTTGCTGAGACCCTGCTGTCTGCTGGGGTCGTGTGCGTGTAGGGGGTTCTTGACCGGAGGGAGGGGTTGTGCCTTTCTTTCCCAGCAGGTTAATTCCGGGTCACCCACGGCCTCCCTGGCCTGGCCACCGTGCAGCGTGGAGGGTCTGCAAGTCGCCGGCCCCTCCCCCAGCAATCACCGCAGAATGAGCTTGGCCAGGGGTCGTGCGTGCCGTGGGAGAGAGCGGTGGCCCCGTGGCCCCTCCAAACTCCCTGCTCGGTGGGGTTTGCCTGTCCTGGTCGAGGCGTCCGAAGTGTGGCCCCAGGTCCTGCCCCGAGCGTGGTGGCCGGGGCGCCCCCTTCCGGGGCTGGTGCTGTAGGTGACTGTGTCTGCCCCGATGCTCAGCTCACACAGGTTCCTATTGTCTCTCTGGGACGTGCAGCCCAGGGCCCAGTCGAGAGTCGGGGTCTGAGCATGGCCCCCCCGCGGCGTGTGGACTCAGCACCCCCTCACCTTTGACCTGGAAGGAAATGGCTGGAGATCGGGTGGGCCGTCATCACGCATCCAGTTCCCGGGGGTCCCCAGGGCCCACAGGGATTCCCGCGGCCTTGGACCACGCTTCCTTCGGGGGGGCCACCTCAGAGCTGCCCCCGGGACCCTCGTCCTTGGGAAGGCCCTTCCGGGGTTCCAGGTCAGCTTGTGTGATGATCTTTTGGGGTCTTGGGGTCCATCTCTGCTCCCTGATCCAGGCCTGGGCTCCCCGTACCCCTCTCAGGTGTGGCAGGGGGCGCCGACGTCCGGGGGGGCCCTCCCTGGGTCAGAACCGGCATCGAGCGGTGCCGAGTTCTAGAAACGCCCAGTGGCCTCCGGGCCATCAGCGCTCCGGGGCTGGAACCGCTTGTGTGTCCCTGAGTTCGTCCTGTCTGTCTGTGTGTCCGTCCCGTCGGTCCGTGAGTCCGTCCCCAGCGGCAGCTCCTGCCCCTTCTGAGCCGGCCAAGGTCAATCCTCCAAGTCTGGCTTCCGGGACGGGGTCCAGGGGTGCCTCGCGGGGTCACTGCCCGCTGCCCCCCTCCTCCGCCCTCCCCATCCTCCACCCTCCGCTCCGGGCCGTCCTGGAAGCCACCGTCGAGGCCCGTGCGGGGTCGGCACCGACGGCCTCACCTTGTCCGCGGGGAGACGGCCGTGGCTCCCCGCTTTCCCTGGCTGCTGCAGGCTTAATTCCGCTCATCCGCAGGAAGCCGGAGTATTTATAGACGCTTGTTATTTTGGGGTCTGTGGAAGGAACCGGCGTGTGCGCCAGGCTCGGGGTGACGAGGGGCCTGGAAGCAGGTGACACCGGGCGGGGTGAGCCCGCAGGGAGGCGGTGGCGGGTGGCAGCGGGCGGCGGGGGGACAGGCAGGACCCCCGTCAGCCCACAGGCCGCCCTGCAGCCTCCAAGGGGCTCAGCCCCCGCCAAGGCTTGGCATCAGATTTGCACACAGGTCCTGGGCCGCGGGGGTCTCCGGCTTGGCCCCCTGCACCGGGCGAGACCCCTTTCTCCCGGGTAGTGGCCCTTCACAGGCGTCAGACTTGCACTTTTTGGGGCTGGAGCGATAGCCCAGCGGGGAGGGCGTTTGCCTTGCACGCGGCTGACCTGGGTTCGATCCCCGGCATCCCATAGGGTCCCCCGAGCACCGCCAGGAGTGATTCCTGAGTGCAGAGCCGGGGGGACCCCTGTGCATCACCAGGTGTGACCCAAAAAGCAAAAAAAAGGAAAAAAAGGCTTTCAGCTCTTCCCGAATGTTTATTCCCTGGGGACCCCCGGCCGGGGGGTGTTGGGGTCTGGGGTGTCACCATGTGATTCTCCCCTTGTCGTCCTGTGACTTTTGCTCTCGGATGTGGGGCGGGAGGGTCCCTCTTGGAAGGAAGGTCTCTGACTCCGGGACCCAGCCTGGAAAAGGCTGAGAGCAGGGGACCTGGTGGAGAGCGACTTTGTGGGGTGCCCAGCTCCCCCATCCTGCCACAGCCCCCCGAGCCCCCCGTGGGCACACCACACCCCGGGCACTGCACTCCAGCCCCTTCAGGCTGGCATAAGCCACGTGGAACCTTCCAGAAGGACACCGGCCCGGTGGAGGTGTGGTGGCACCCCTGGGACCCCATCCTCCGCTCTCTTCCCGAGCCCCCCAGAGCCAGGGGCGAGGGACTGAAGGTCACCCACTGTCCCAGTGGCCTGCTCCGGGGTCCAGCTGCCCTTGCTCTGGGTTGGGGCTCCGGGCCGGTGTTGCTTCCTGGCGAGCTGGCCGCCGCGGCCAGGGACTCTCCAGTGGCCGGCCGAGCCCTGTGTGTGCCTGGGGCGCCCGCGTCCCCCAGCCTGGGCCTGGTCCAGGGCCTTCCCGGAACCTGCCCGGTCACCGCCGCTGGAACTGCCAGTGGCCGTTGGCGATGCGGAATGGATGGACCCGGCACTGGTGGGGAGGGCACCCCTCCCGGGCCCAACTGTCTGCCCTGGTCATCGCCGCCAGAGTGTCCGTGTGGCCTTCAGGAACCCCCTGCCCCCTTGGCTGTCAGCCACGTCCTCACCCTCTCCCGTGAAGAGGAGGTGGGCCAGAGGGGAGTTCTGTCACGGGACGGCTGTCTCCGGGGCCCCGCAGGGCAGTGGCCGAGGGAGGGTCTCCAGGGTCACTTGGCTCTATCGGGCCTACCAGCAGGACACGGGGATGATTCCACAGCAGTGGCGGCTGAGTGTGATCCGTTTGGACACGTCACGTGGCCTCAAGTGACAGCCCCGGGTGCGGGGGCTGCAGGAGAAGCCCGAGAGCGTCACTGCTCAGAGGACACGGACACAGCTGGCTGCGTGCCAGGCCCCGGACGCTGGTCTGGAGTGCACGCGTGCAGCAGAACATGCGTGTGATTTTTGTCACATGTGTTCCAGGACACACGTGTGTGTGCACATGCTTGTGGTTCCATCATGTACCAGGACACATGTGACTACGTGTGTGTGGTTCTTTCATATCCTAGGACACATGTGACTACATGCGTGCATGTGCGTGTAGTTCCATCATGCACCAGGACACACGTGTGACTACATGCATGCATGTGCGTGTAATTTTGTCACGTGAGTTCCAGGACACGTGTGTGCATGTGCATGTGATTCCATCGTGTACCAGGACACACATGACTACATGTGTGCATGTGTGTGGTTCTTTCATGTATGCATGTGCATGTAGTTCCATCATGCACCGGGACACACATGTGGCTATATGCATGCATGCATGCGTGTGTGTGGTTCTGTCGCATGTGCACCAAGACACGTGTGACTGCGTGCACATGTGTGATTCCATGTGTGTGCACCAGGATACACACATGACTACATGCGTGCATGTGATTCCATCGCCCACTCACAGTTGTCCATGCATGTACACATGCAGTCAGATATACATGTATGTGAGAGTGGATGTGTTTATGCACACATGGTGCGTGTCTGTGCACATGCGTGTGTGCCTATGTGGTCGTACACATGTATTAGTGTTTACACGTGTGTGTACATGAGTGTACACGCATGCACTCATGTGTGTGGGAGGAAGCCTGCCCGGGGACGTCTTGGTCCCTGAGCCCCAGCCGCCCGTGAGGGGTGGGGTCACCCACAGCCACAGGGCCGCCCCTGGAGGGGGGCGCTGGCCGGGGCCTGGGCTCTGGGCTGCCTCTTTGTTCCTGCTCAGTGAGGCGGGCACCTTGGCCACGTGGGCCGCTGCTGGCCGGCTCTGTGTGGCCCCGCCGCCGCCCGGGTCTGCGTGGTGCTTTCCTGGGGGTGGGGGCCAGTCCAGTCCTGCTGTGTCATGTGCCCCCAGCCTTGGGGACGCCCCCCTCGCCTTCCATGCCGAGGCCCCGCTGGGGTCTGGGGGGCCCCTCCGAGGCTCAGGGCAGTGGCTGGCGGAGGAAGGGGGTGGCCAGTTAGGGTTCTCTGTGCGCCTTCGTCTGAGGTTCCGTGAGACCTACAGGTGGACACCATGGGGCGGGGGGTCAAGGGGGGTCCCCACCCTGATCCCCAGCTCGGCCTGCGCGCGCCTCCTGAGAAGCATGGGTCCAGGGGCAAGTCATGGGCACGTCTGGACCCTGGACGGGGCGTCCAGCCCTGCCGGTCCTTCACCCCCCATCTGCTTTCTCTTCTCTCTCGACTCGGGGGCCACGACTGGGCCCCCGCACTGCCCCCCACGCACACCCCTTCTCACCGGTCTCCTTCTCTCCGCAGTACGTGGGGAGCCTGGACGTGCCGAGGCCCAACAGCAGGGTGGAGATCGTGGCCGCCATGCGCCGGATCAGGGTGAGTGGGGGCCCGGTGGGGGCCGGGGTTGGGGGGATGCTGGTCCCAGTGAGGGCCAGAGTGATGCTGGTACCACGTGTGGCTGTCTGGGCCGTAAGCCTGGAACTTGGGTCGCTATGGAAGGCCAGCTGGGGCCTCCTCCCTGCCCTGGACAGGGGGATGTGGCCACCGCCCTTCTACTGCTATGGGGCCAGTGCACAGCCCCCTCTGAGTGGGGCAAGACCCACTGGATCCTGTCAGATGGAGGGTGGGAGGGCCGGAGACACGCCCCCTGCCACATCTGGTCCCTGGGTCATCCCTGCTTCTGTTGCCATGGTGAGGGAGAGGCTGTGCAGGTAGTTTCTGCCGTGGTTAGTGACGTGGTACGGTTGGTGTCCACCGTGGTTAGTGACATGGTGTGTGGTGGTTGGGATCAGCCGCGGTCAGGGACGTGGTTCCATGGTGTGGTTGGTATCAGCCGTGGTTAGCAACTCGGTGTGGTTGGTACCAGCCGTGGTTCATGACATGGTTACATGGTGTGTGGTTGGTATCAGTCGTGGTTAGCGGCTCGATGTGGTTGGTACCAGCCGTGGTCAGTGACGCATTTGCGGTTGGCAGTGGCTGTGGGTGGATCGAGGTGGTGTCTTGCCTCTCCCGTCACTGGCTGAGTGACAGACCCCGGCCGCCGTCAGCTCTGCCGACTGCCCCTGTCCTGCTGGCCTCTCGCCGTGGGCTTGACCAGGGGGGCTGAGGGCCGTGGACGCTCCCTGTGCCTGACCCCCGTGTCCCTGCCTGCCTTCAACCACGGAAGCAAGTGTCTGGGGGTGCCACCCTCCAGGAACGGGGTTTGATGCTCCCCACGGTGCCCACGGTGGTGCCCTCTCATGGGTCCCGTTTGCAGGTGGCTGAGTGGCGCTTGGTGGCCGTGGTGGAGGGAGATGAGCCCCGTGCCGGTGTGGGGCCGACGCCCCGTCCTCCCCAGCCCTCAGCTCCCCTCGCCGCGTCCCCCCGGGAAGCGTTTCTCTGGCCAGGCCACCGCTGTTTGGTCTGGCCGTCTGGGCGCTTGTTTAGACTGGCAGGAGAGGAACCCTGGGCAGCCAGGCTGCTACCCACCCCCTTCTCGCCTCCTCCCTGCAGCCGCCGGCAGCCGGGACTGCAAACTGCAAAGCTCCTTCCCTGCGTTCAGGCCCACCCAGGGCTGGTCAGGGTCATCCGGGTTGCTCCATCCTGCCCTGCTTCCGTGGCCCTGAGCTCTGTGTGTGTGTGTGTGTGTGTGTGTGTGTGTGTGTGTGTGTGTGTGTGTGTCGGGGACCACACCTGGCCAGGGCAGGGCCTGGACCGAGCTGCTGCAGACCCTGAACCGAGGCCACTTGCAGCCACCTGCCCAGGAGCGAGCGGACAGAGGGAGGCCCGGTGCTTCCGTCCACTCCGCCTGGCTGCCCTGTGGCGAGCTGGACAGGGCGGGCGGTGGTGGGGGCAGCCATGCAGCAGAACCACCCCTGAGCGCCGTGGGGTCTGCATCCCCCCAGCCGAAGAAGCCGAGGCCCCCAAGCCAGAAACCTAAAACCTGGGACTTGGTGGTAATCCTGATGGCCAGAAGTGGCCACTGGACAGACGTCGCCTGGCTTTGGGGGTCCACCTGCACTCTGGGGCGCGCCTAGGGGGTCCAGGAAGGGTCAAGCAGATGAGATGTCGGTGTTCTGCCCCTGTGGCCCCCTCCCCCCTGCCAGGTGAGCCCCCCTGGGGCCCGGGGCCAGGCCTGCCCGCTGAACTGATGGAGACCAGACCGGGGTGCAGGGGGCCCTGCCTGGCGTCTGGCTGAGCTGCCCGGAGATAAGGCATTCCAGACATTCCTGCTTCCTGTGGGAGCAGCCGGCCCCTCCTCTGCCTCCCCTGCCCAGCAGGGGTGAAGCGGGCCGGGTGGCACTTCTCCCCCTCCTGACCCCCCCACCCCCGCTCTGCTGACCTTGCCTCACGTGGGGTCTGGCCAGCACACGGCGGTTCTGAGTTCTTGTCCCCACGGCCGCGTCTGCCTGCCTCAGCGATCTGGGCCAGGGGTCCTCTGTGCGGGTTCGATTCTCAGTGCAGACTCCGCGGGGGGCCCGGAGCCAAGGTACCGCAGGGCACAATGCTCGCCTGACCCGGGTTCGATCCACAGCATCCCATGGGGTCCCCCGAGCACCGCCAGGAGTGATTCCTGAGTGCAGAGCCAGGAGGAAGCCCTGAGCAGCGCCGGGTGGGACCCAAAAAGAAAAAAGAAAAAAGAAAAACAGGGTCAAGCGATAGCATAGCCGGGAAGGGCGTTTGCCTGGCACGCGGCCGACCCGGGTTCGATCCCCGGCATCCCATGGGGTCCCCCGAGCACCGCCAGGAGTGATTCCCGAGTGCAGAGCCAGGAGGAAACCCTGAGCATTGCTGGGCGAGACCCCAAAAGCTAAAAAATAAGTACATTTTAGGAGACACGGTGGGAGTCTCCGGGACCCCCCACCTTCCTAGGTGCCCGGACCAGGAACGGGAGGACCTGGGTGCCGGGCGTTCCCATGGGGCGAGGGAAGCCCAAGGTGACCCCCGCCCCCATGACCGAGAGCGTGGCTGGCCGGGAGAGGCAGCTGGACAGACGGCCGCAGTGCGGTCAGCCTGGGGGACCCGAGGGAACCAGTGAAGGCCCAGATACGAGGCGGAGGATTCACCCAAGGGCATCTGGGGTCGGTCGGGATGGGAGTGGGTGGGAGGCAGGTGGGGGGGTCCTGGTGCGTCATCGTCCGAGGCAGGTGGAGACTCTGGGGCTGCTTCTCACTCCCTAGGGGTGCCCGTTTCTAGGGATGCGGGCGGAGGGGGCTGCAGGGCAGTCTCGGACCCTCTCCCCCATGCTCACCCTTCGCTGCTTGCTGCCCACGCGTCTCCCTAAAGAAGAGGCCAGGCTCCCCTCCCCCTCCCTCCAAGGCTGAGTCCTGCACGGCCGAGACACTGCAGGCGGCTGTCACCTTCACACCGGCTCCCTGCCCTGCCCCGCCCCGCCCCACCCCTGCAGGGGTGCAGCGTGGGTGTCTGCAGAGCCGGCCCTGGCCTCCCCTGGGTGCGTCCTGCCCAGGGCAGTCCCCGTCCATGCAGGGCGGTGCCCGGGAAGTCCCTGCCGGGGTCCTGGGGAAGGGGCTGGTGTGGCCCGTGGTGGTCTTGGGGTCTGGCCCGCCAGGCCTGGGGGAGTGTTGTGGCTGGCCCAGCCGTTCACGGGGTCCCGCCTTCCTCATCTCTCTGGGGGGCTTGTGGGGGGCGCCCTCCGAGGGTCCGCCAGCCAGGTGGGCGTCCAGACTGCTGTCCTGGGGGTTTGCTCGGCCCACGCAGTGCTAAGAGCTGCTCTGCCGGCCTGTCTGTCCGTCCTGGCCCCTGGCGGGTCCCGGCCAACATGGCCACTGGGGGAGTCAAGTGACAGGGAGGCACCATGCGACCTGGAGCTGGGCATGTTAATGGGGTGGCCGCGACGTTCTGGCGTCTCCTCTCGGCAAGATGGACACAGACCATGCATCTGTTGGGGCCGGCTGTGTGCGCTCAGCCTCATGGGTCCAGACCCAGGCCAGGCCCGGCCACCACCTCCTCCTCTTCTTCCTCCTCCTCCTCCTCCTCCATCTCTTCCTCCTCCTCCTCCTCCTCCTCCTCAGGGTCCCGGCAACAGGCCTGTGCTCCAGCCCTTTCACCCACCTTCCCGACCTGAGCGCACGAGAGGCCCAGCTCCCTCCACGCCGAGACCCTCCTGGGTCCGGTGGGGTCAGTGGGTGTGACCAGGAGTCTCGCCCAAGTTGAGGTCAAAGTCTCAAGCCCGGTCCCAGGTTCCAGGTTCCTAACCCCCACCCCCCCACCCCTGTTAGCTAGACATGCCGCCCTGGGCTCTGTTCCCACTGGGCAGCAAATTGTCCCCACAGGCTGGGCAGCGCCACCAGGGCCACTATCCTGGTTAGGGTCTGCTGTGAGCCACAGATGCTCTGGCTGTCGCCAGGACTTCGGCCGGGCCCTGCACCCGCTCGTGACACCCTGGGGACACACGGCACCCGGCATGGGCCGCTCTGGGGCGTTGGAGCCCCCGCCGGAGTGGCCGTGGACGGGGTCGCAGGACCGTGCCGGCTCCATGCCCACTCAGAGGGACGGAGGCCCCACCCAGGCCTGGTTCAGCCTCCGGCTCTTGGCTCAGTGCCGCCGGCCTCTGCCCTGGGAGAACCTCCCGGAACTTGGCACATGGGAGGTTGGGAGTTCCTGCCGGCGGCCAGGAGCTGGCCAGGGGCCAGGCCAGGAGCCCCGCCCGCCCTGCACCTCCCGTTTCCTGTCGCCCGACAGATAGAGCTGACACTGATTGCCCAATCCGAGGCCCTCCGTGTCTGGACTCCTGCCCCGGGGTCCCCGGGGGTGAGTGATGAGCTTCCGGGTCGAACGTTCTGGCTGCCCGGAGCCTGGGGCCCGGCCGGTGCTGTGCTGAGTCCCTGCCCTGTGGTGGGCGCCGACTGCCTGCCTCTGTCCCTGGAGGGCTGAGCGGGGACGCCCGGGTCAGGGTAGGCCCGGCCCCGGCTGTGACCACCTCGACTTGCCTCTGTCCTGCAGGGGACAGAGTGTGGAGGACCCTGCACTCGGGCCTGGCCACTTCCTGCCCCCTTGCCCAGAGGCAGTGACTATTTTTTTTTTTTTTGCTTTTTGGGTCACACCTGGCGATGCTCAGGGGTTACTCCTGGCTCTGCACTCAGGAGTTACTCCTGGCGGTGCTCAGGGGACCATATGGGATGCTGGGAATCGAACCCGGGTCGGCCGCGTGCAAGGCAAACGCCCTCCCTGCTGTGCTGTCGCTCCAGCCCTCAGTGACTAATTTATTCCCTCATCCACTCATTCACTTACTCATTCCTTTACTTATTCATTCATTCACTCACCCCATGGTGTTCACTAACTTGTCAGAAATTCACATACTCATTCATTCATTCACTCCTCACTCATGAATCAGTTCACGCGTCCCTCCATTCACTCATTCACCGGCTCACCATTCA